ATATTATAAATCCAGAAACACAATTAATAGCAATTATAGAATATCTATATGATAACTATTGTCATCATGTGATGATCAAATTCCAACTAAATGAGCAAGACAATCTTGAGTCAAATGACACAAAAGTAAATCAAAATGAAAATGATTTGACTTAAAATGAATTGAATGAAAACGTATTAAATAAAAATGAAGCCAATAAAAAAGAACAAACTATAGAAACTACCGGTAAAAATTTATTACTTTTTTTAATTGAAAAAATAATATTAATATAAACGCAATCTTAATTATTAAAAATTAGCATCACCTAGTCAAGTAACAAAGAAAAAAAGAGCAAGTCCTAAAACTGAGTTTGATAAGATTGAAGCAAAAGTCGATATTATTCACAGATATGAAAACTACATGGTATGCATCATCTAACTTATAATGATCATTTCATTAAACATTAGTTTAATATTCTTAAATTCTCAGAAAAATAAAAAAAATCCATGGGTGATTAGTGTCACAGATGAAAATATAAATGTTGTCGAAAAGCTCTACAAAAAACTTACTATACAAAGACTCGAAGTTATGGCATTCAACAATCTATTTCTTTCGATAATTTTTGATTTAGACATAATTGATAAATTTATCACTAAATGTTTTACACATGATGAGTTGTTAAAACTTTCAGAAGTTGAAGATTTTAATTTTCTTCCATCAAATAAAATAAAAGCATATCGAAAGCTGAGTAGATAATAATGTGAGTTAATATTTTTTTATTTTTTTTATTTATTTATAATTATTATTATTATTTTTTTTTACATTTATTTATTTTTAAAATTGTTGTTAAGCCGAAATATGAATTACTAAACAATGTTCAAAAAAACAAATGGTCTTAATTAAAATCTTTATAATTGTTTGTGAGTTATATTTTTAAAATATTATTTTTTTATTGCTTTTTATTTTATTAAATTTTTTTTTCTTTTTTCAAGTAAAAAGATATAGAATAGAAAAGAATATGATAATTAGACAGAGAATGATAGAACAATTTCTGAAGCAACCTTTTTACACTCAACTGTAGATAAAATATTATCTACATGTATAGAGGATATAAATGAAGAAATTTATTTATGCTGGTAATTATAGTTTAAAATTTATACAGGTGTTATTTTAGCTTTCATCTAATAAATATTATACTATTTTAGAGAATATTGATCTGAAGAAGGCAATATAAATTATGAGCCTAATTGTAATTATGACAAATGGCTAAATTCTAATGAATCAAACATAAATGGCATTCAAAGTAATAGTGGTTGAATCCCAGATTTTCAAGCAACAATTCAATTAGAGGCAGAGAAATCTGAATTCATATATGGGGAAGTTAGTGAACCCCCTTATAAAACTATTAGTACAAAAATTGAAACTGATAGAAGGAAGCTAATTCGATATATGAAGCGTAACAAAAGAGAACAGGAGGAGAAATTTATTAAAATTTTGGAATGAATGTTGAATATAACTTAATTGACAAGATTAACATCTTTTCAATACTTGTCTATGGTATTTATAAATATTATTTATTACTTTAATGTTATTCGTTTAACTTTCTAAATATTATAAATATTATTTATTACTATAATATTATTTTTTTAACTTTCTAAATATTATTAATATTATTTAATAGGAATATCATTTAAATTACTCATGTATAACAAAGATGATTTTTTATCTAAAATTTATCCACTAATTGAAATAAAAATTTCAGTGAAATCATATTTGACCAACCAAGAAAAAATAAATTTTCTCCTAGCATGTACGATTTTAATCAATATTGTAGTGCATACAATTAAGAAGTTTAAAAATATCAAACTCAATCTTGAAGCAAATAGAAATGTATTCAATACAAAAAAAGTGAAAATTTAGCGATTTGCTAGTGAAACTGTATATTGTTACAGGTGGTACTGCCAAGACTATTTCAACAGAGAAGGTGAAAATACAATGAATTTTTGTTTAAAATTCTTTGACATCATGTAATATTACTCAAGGTAAAGGTGAGGCAGAATCGATTTGGCAAGGTCTAAGGCAAACCTTGAGGGTTGTTACAGGATAAGTGAATTTAATGAATATAGATTTTTATTGTTTATTAGAAGTCTTTATTATTAGACTTAATTGGGGCACAATTTGTTTATTTATTATTTCTGGTAGGGCATTCTTCTCTACTCTTTTGCAAGAGAAGTTTTCAAACTGTATTTATAAGAATTACAACAAGAAGTAAGAAGAAATATTTGATGCTTCTATTACTTATTTTTCCCACTGTTTAAACCCGTTTTTACTTAATTTAACTAACACTTTACTCTCCTCTTCAACTTAGCCTTCATTTCCTTAGCAATTTTTTTCATTGAGTTTGCATTTGACGATGCATATACATGGCCACACACCTTACCCGACAAGGTATTATTACTTTAATAACTGTTAACCCAAATTGGGCAGGTGGCTGTTCTCTATGGGATCAGCATTATTGTTGCAGTTGGGGAACCTGGATCTAATGAGTTTGTTTGACATTTAGTTTTTCCTGGTCATGGCACTATTGCACGATAGTTGTTTGTACGTTATCACAAGATTGTCTTGTCGTTCTTGCAAGGGCCTAGAGTCAGGTTTACCTCTAACAATATCAATTTTCAATAAGGCAAAAAAGATCAAGAACAACACCAAAAGGTTTAGGAAAATAATACAACAAATAACACTAGCGCCTTTTATTGTAATAGTTTAATTAATAGGAATTTTTCAATATAAGATAATTTTTTTGTCTTCGCTATGCATTAAGAACAATTTTTTTTCATAATAAGATGATTATACATTTTATTTTTATTACTTTTTCATTATAGATGATTTTTATACTTTATATTCATTTAAAATTTTATTGTTCTACACATTTTTAGAATTAAAGTCAATGTGATTTTTTTACCTTTAGTATTTTGATTTTATATTGAATTTATGAATCAATCATTGATAACAAAATTGATAATAGATTTTGTTAAAATTAATTCTTATACAAAAAAGTGAAAAAGATATTAATATATAAATTCTTTCAGAAATTCAATTTGTAACGATTCTTAAGAATTCATTAGAAGAATATTCTGAAAATTTTTAAGAAATTCTAATTGGAAAAAACAAAATTTACTAGATATATGAAATTTGGGATCATTTGTTACAAACTAGCTGAAATCTATCAAATTTTGAAGGCCTTCACCTTTTACCAATCAAAAAAGATTATAAAATTTTCTTGAAGAAATTAAAAGCAATACCAAAATGTATATGCCATTCACCATGTCATCAAATGATTGATGATATAGCAGTTAATGCTTTAACTCAAATATTCAAATTATTATGCTCAATCTTTATAATTAATGGTCTTGAGAAACAAATTGTTTCAAAATATCCAAAGTGGTTTATTTATTAAATATTTACAACAGGTGAAACCTGAGTTGCGAAATAGTAAGCTCCTTCATGATCATTACATGAAGGTGAAATTTATTTTTTATACCAGGTTAGTTAAAAATTTCTAAATAGCCTTTTTTTTTGCTACTTCCGCTAATATTAAATATTATTTATAAATTTATATACTCAAGTAAGTGAAAAGCTTCCAGATAGGATCTTTTATTAATTACTAAATGGCGCATTGCAAATACAATACAGATTTATAAAAAAAAGTTTTATTATTAGTATTATTAGCTGAGATAGCAAAAAGGTCCTGTTTAGAGACTTTTAACCACTTTTAACCAACCTGGCATAATAAAAAAATATAATAAGTACATTGTCCATTATATTTTAATGTCATTTTTTTTTTTTATATTCTACTAAGTTCTATAGTAAAATCATTTTCACCTTATTGTTTTACTCACGTAAATACTGCAATACTCCAAAATGTTGTATGGTGGATACTTGATTGCCTTGAGTGTTGATTCAAGTGTTCGAGTATTGTTATAATGGTGACCATCACGTGATATTGCTGAAGGATAGCTGAAGTCTTAAAACCATCCACTCCCCAAATCTAAATGTCTTTCGATAAGTTGTCTTGGTTTATTGGTTTGTTTGGTTGGATTAGTTAATTCCTGACAAACTATTTTTTCTGTATAACACTGGTATAATTAAAAATTTGATACTGATATTTTTGTTTCTGTTTCTAGTACAATTATATTATAATTATGCAGCTATCTTATTGAGAAATATTTTAAAATTAAGAACATTGGATTTAACGAATTTGTTCTGATAAGACATTAATTTCAAATTGAATTTTCTACACGATACTAAGTCAAATAAACATTTATTGAATTACAAACTTAGATGATGCTTAGAATGCAAATTGGCTAAATTGTAAACAAAAAAAAATATTGAATCAATAAATTGAATTATATAAAAAGCAAATAAAAAAAAATTGAATCAATAAAATTGAAAAAAAAATACCATATAAGCAAGTGAATAAAAATACTAATTCGATAAATTGAAGTTAATCGAAAAAACTAGAGCAAATTAAAGACTGAATTGAATAAAAAATAATGAACAAGATCTGAATCAAGTAAATATATATATATAGCTAAGCATAAGTAAAACTCAGTGAATAACTAAAAAAAAATAACGAAATCGAATATTTATCCTTTTGGATTTTCAAGTATCTTTCAATTTTTAAAAATTGAAATGATAATAAGTTTAAAATTTTGATAGGGATCAATTTTGGTTTTTTTGTCAACCAAGGTGGTGTATCAAACCATAATAAGCGAATAGTAGAAAAAGTTCATTAATAAAAATTTCCAGATAGCAAAATCAGGTCGATATCCAAATTTTAAATGTCTATCTTTAATGTATATTGTAAGCATGAAAATGTTCTGAAATAATAGCCTATACAATTTCAAAGGCCGAATAAAAGATAATACACATATAGGCATGTCCTGAAATAAAAATTTAACTTGCAAATGAATATTTTTAATTTATATTAATTATTGATATTTTTGAGCATGTTTTATGCTCACCAATAATAAGAGATTTAGTATCCATAGGAAGTCTTTTAGCATCTTCAGAAGATACTATTTTGGTGACTCTGGTGAGCAAATTCCCATGTAAATAATTTAGTAATAATAATCAATTGCAAGAATTCTTATTAATAATTATTAGCTTACCATTAAAAATTATCCAAGACAACTTTGTATAGTAGGGTTTGAGACACAGGAGCATGAGTATGCCTTTTAGGGCATGCCTTGCCTTAGAGCATATTTGTAATAGTAAATTTTAACTCAGAACATGCCTATAAAGCAAGCCTAATTTTTTATTCGTGTCTTGAACACTATTGTATAGACTGTTAAAAATGAATAGAGATAAGCTTTACACTCAACATTACACTGTATAATTGATATTTGTAAAATAGAGTATATTAACATATAAAATGTAATATTAATGTTGCGAGTGGTAAACCAAAGATAGGCTGGTAAGATTTCATGCTTTATATATTGTTCTATTATTATATCGATCTCAATTAGGAATATCTAAAGCTATACACGTGGCTCTCGATATAACAGACCATCGATATAACTGATATTGCTTAATACGGAGAATTATAATAGAACCAAATTATGATTTATTATATCATGAGATTTTGATATTACAGATCTTTTGATATAATGGAGCAAAGGTCTAGAACCATGGCCTCCATTATATCGAGAGCCACATGTATATAAATTAAAACATAAAAGGAAAAATGAAACCATTATCCCACATTAAGCCATTCTCTTTTAACTTCTCATCTTATCGAGTATCAAAAAATATTTTATGCTAAATACCCTGATCATTATATCAAGATCACGGGGTATTTAGTAAAAATACCCTGATCTGTATGTGTATAGGCAGAAACTTAATTTTTGCTAATACCCAACTACTCAGGATATTTTTATTACATATACACTAGTAGAAATAAAACAATTCAGATAAGTATTATAGACTTTTAGTCTTAATATGTATGTCTCCCATTAATAGTGTTATTTGTATTATCAAGTATATATATTAAAACCAATTAGAGCTTGGATCCAGTAGATAACGGATATCTATTTTCAGATAGCTGCGAATTTTGGATATTTGTTGTAAATTATCCAGATAAATCTGTTGAATTAATCAGAAATATAGTCAATTCTAGATATAATAGATTTTTTATACCAAATTTTTACTATCAGAATCATTATAAAAAAAGCTAGCTGAAATCAGAATATATGTATTTTATTAATATTATTAATGCATATACAAAGTAATATAATTATAAAAAATAATGCTAATAAATACAGTATTTTATAATACTACTACTATCTGTTTGATAATATGATTACATGTTGTGTTTTCTTTTGTCAATTCATTACACTGGTTTAATTGGTATTTAGTAGTCGAGATTGAATGGTCCCATACCCAACTTCTTTTCCTTGAACCTCCTCTTTTTTTAAATTGATTATTGTTTATCACATCCACTA